ACACACACACACACACAGACACACACACCTTACATCCATCATCCTGTCTGAAGTCTGCGGCGTTCCGGCTTCGTCATCCTCGCCTTCTCCATCGCTGCCTCATCTATGCTCACAGCTGATTGGCTGAGAGAGGTCTGACAGACTGACGAGTCTCAGAGAGATGGCGGGAGGAAGCACTGAGGAGCCTGATTTAAAGGGCCAGTACGTCCGTGCACGAGTCCTCCGAGATAAATGTGAAGCTTGGGAGGCGCTGAGCCTCCTCTCTGCACCGTTTTCATGTTTTTAGTTTTGCACCGGCACTTTTTGTTTTCACAGACGTCTGCACGGACGCAGGACACAAGAACAAAGTCACTCAGTGAATGAGCTGAAAGGAGCCGCTCGGCGTTTTAGGAAACCTTCTACAAGGAGCTGATTGACAGGAGACTCGTCGTGTCCCTGAGACCATGACGAAACGTTGAGTCGCTCCTTTAACGAGGCTTCAACTCATGTTTCCTGTAGGAAGCTGGATCGGGACCTGAACGGAACTCACTTCCTGTGTGAGGAGACACGATGGCAGCGTAACGGCTTCGTCATCGTCACCTGCTGTGGTGATGTCATTGACCTCTTACTGAGACTGGAGCTGGTCCGTGAGCAGGCGGGTCTTTAAGTGCCAAGTGGGAGTAACTCATCTGGGATCAGCTGACTCCTGCTGCAGGTCATCAGCAGCTTATACCATGTTGTGGACTGTGTGGGGGGGTGATGGAACAAACCATCACAGACAGACTGGAAGTCTCCCACCTGCAGCGAGGACTTCCTTCCTTTTTTCTTCCCTGTAACTACAGACTAAACCTGGTGCATGTTGTCTTTATCTGAGCTGTGTGTGCGTGAGAGAGCACATTTCTTTTTTTAAAGTGTTAAATAATTACCCATGATGCAGAGCGCGCAGGTGTGAGCAGCAGGTCGACACTCGCTCTGATTTCAGGAGCTGAATCTTGAGTTTTATTTGAGGTTCAAATCAGGAAGCTGACGATGTAAAATAATCTGAGAGCGACGAAGTCGAGAAGTCGCGATGAAGATTCACACAAGTAAAAATGATACTAATGAAAGTTGTTGGAATAATTTGTCAGTAGAAATGCTTTAATGTTTGATGGGATAAAACATTTAATTCAAAAAAGCTCTGAAAATAATTTTGATTTAATGCTCGAGTTGATTAAAATAATAAAATGACATTTAGAGAAAATGAGGAGATTTCTGGAAATGAAGTCAGATTACATTTCTTTGATAAAGCTGAAAAAGAGAAACTAACGTGTAAAATCAGGATGTTTTCATTTACCTCGTTTTCTCTAACGTGTCCGTGTCACACTCATGTTTCCAGTTTCTTGTGACTGTTTCGATGTTTTTAAACGTACGTTCATGTTCGATGACTCGTTTTGTTTGTCACATGAAGCCTTTTCCCCGTCGCGTCCTGAATCCTGGTCACGTGACCCATGAGCGGTTTGAGACTGAATCTGTTGTGGTGCTCAGGTTTGAGGTGTTTGCGGTCAGAGCAGATTTCGGCTCTTCTTCTTCTCTGGATCTTCGCTTGCGGTCCTGCAGCAGCAGAATGCGGCTCAGTCTGCACCCTTCGTTCCATTTTATAGCAAACTGTCTGATTTTGTCTTCTTTGATGATGCATTTTGAACTGCAGCAGAGCCTCCTGCCCCATGCCTGCTGTGTTCTGCCTTACACACAGTTAGACTCTGTAAAGAAACGACTAAAAGCTGTAACAAAGCGACCCGTGTGCTGCAGGGTGGTGGTAGTGATGGTAACCGTAGTGACGATAGTGTCGGGCTGTCCTGCAGCTTCACTGAGGCTGAACCTTCAGTCCCAGTTTAACAGCATGCTCCTCTGCTCTCAATAAACTCCTCAGCGACTCTCTGTGTCCTGTCTCATCTCCTCACACAATATTTCTGTGGCTCTGTTATAAAATCTGATGGTGTGTAGAAATTACATGAAAGTTAGCTCAAAAATCACATTTTTTAGCAGCAGTCTAAACATGAGGAAATAAATATCATTTAGAAAAAACAGAACATTAATTCAGTAATTATATTATTTGATATTTATGTGGAGACTGAGTTTACAGTTAGAGTTTAAAAACTAAAAATCTATTTTCTTTTTGGCATTTCTGCTTTCAATCACTAGGGGGCGGACTTTGTTTTTCCGGGTTCGGAGGTCATCTCACAGGAAGCACGTGATTGCACTGCGAGTGAGGGGAAAAAACACGCACTGGTCTCCACATGTGCAACACAGTCTGCTTCATGCTAAGAAAAGGATTACAAGTGTTGTGAGGCTGGCTTAAAGTCGCAGTTTTCTGATTGGAGTTTGGTGCAGAGGACGGAACAAACATGGAGGACATGAGCTTCATTAAGCTGCCGGCCGATGAGGGCAAACAGCCGGCCAAGAAGAGGGCGAAACTCCCGCAGTCTAGCCTGGTGGAAGAAGAGGAGGAGCGGCAGAGGAACGTAAAGAACCTGGCGGTGCTGGGGGAGAAGAACAGCTCGGTGAAGCTGCTGGAGGAGCTGGTGTTCGGGGCCGAGGAGGAGCTGCTGGAGAGACTCGTGGAGGTGACGTTCTCACCAGAGACCGTTTAAAAAAACAGCTCATTTAAACTTTTTTGGACACTAACTGGAAACCTCTGCCTCTGAGACCGAGCTGCCGTAACTCTCATGAAACGCAGTTATTTGTGGTAAATTCGGTTTAACTGACCTGAAAGAAAAGTCACGAAAATCTTTGCTACCTGAAAAACTCTCCGTTTCCTGCGATCGGCTTCAAATGTTCTTGCACAGGCGCAAAACTGTTTACGTAAAGACAAAGTTTGACATTTACAAAAGTTTGCGGGGTGTTTCTGGTAAACTCGGCTGGCTAATTAACAGCCACGATGTCTGTAATCTGTTCAAGCTTAACTTGTATCAACCAAACTCCATTCAAAATATCCCTGACTTTTGTTCTCGTGCGCATGAGCAGATATTACTCTGAAAACTAAGGTTACGAAGTTTTCCAACAAACCATTAAACCTTTGGGTTTACCGCCAGACTCCATTTAAAAGTCTTCTAATTTAGATTGCCTCTGTTTGTGTGTGAACCAGGCTGACAGTTATCTACCACCAGACTCCATTTAAAAAAAGTCTTGTTTTTCTTTCCCTGCTCAGAAGCTGAAACTTTTGTATATATAAGACGAAGACGACTGTGTAGGACTTTGGCTTAGACCCGCTGAATAACTGAGCACCAGGTGAAGAAGAGTTTTAGTGGTGAAACACTTTAATGTCAGGTCACCTCCCGTTTGAACGATGCTGTAAAACTGGGTGAATTTTTGAATGGAGTCTGGTTTGTGGAGCTTGGTGATGAATCGTGCTGGGTTCAGGTCAGGTTTTGGTTTTTCACTGATGCTTCCTGTTCCCTGAGCAGGAGGACGAGGACCAAACCGGACTCCTGCTGCTGGAGGACAAAGATGAAGAGGAGGCAAAGGAGTCTGAGGATGAGGGCGGAATGCGGCAGGAGCCGCAGGCCGAGAAGAAAGCGGCGTGGGTGGACGAGGATGACGAGCTGGAGGAAGAGTGAGTGGTTCACAATAAGACGTGTTTTAGGCTGAAAGCGGGAAATCAAAGATGATTGTGGTGAGTGAAGACTCGCGTGATGATGCTGAGGTGTTGGTGTGTTTCAGGGTGGACATGAAGCACCGTTTCCGTAGAAACCTGATGAAAGGCGAGGCAGAGTCCACCATGACCAAACAGAAACTGCAGCAGAGGATGAGGGAGCAGTGAGTATGCACGCACACAGATGCACACACACACCTATAAACACAGCTGGATGTGTGCTGCGTGTGTTTCAGGTTCCAGAAGGCGATGGGAGGAACGCCATCATGGGCGGAGAGCAGCGACCAGAAGAGGAGGAGGAGGAGGAGAGGTAGAATCTAAAATGTTTTTATTATTTTAAGAGTGTTTTCAGTCGACAGAAACTCAGACTCTGCGTCTCTGTGTTCCTGAAGCTGAGGAGGATGAAGATGAGGAGGATGACCTACTGAGGAGGACGGGAAACTTTGTGGCGTCCTCGGACAGCCTGCCCAGCGGCATCCTGAGGGTCAGTGAGTCCAGCAGGCTTCTGTTTGTCTGTCAGGCTGTTCCACCAGACTCCATTCAAAATATTGCTCATTTTACGTGGTTGCTGTAGGTAATGTTACAGAGCGATGAGTGTTACACCGGTGCTGGGATAAGTTGTGTCTGAGAACAGGATGTGAGGCTTTGTAACATCTGCTGAATCTGATGTGACGTGGTTGCCAGACTCCATTCAGAATATGGATCATTTTAGCAGCAGTGACTGTGTGATTTGATATACCTTTATTAGTCCCACAAGGGGAAATTTCATAAGGCTGCCGACATATTGCACACAATGGTGGCGCCATCTTACCCCCCGACCATACATACATGACACAAACATCACATGGGGAAGACAGGTCAGAGAGGTATAACATGGAGAATGCACCACATGAAGAAAGATGAGGAGAAAAATAACTCCCCCCAGACTGAACTCCAACAGGGAGATCAGTTTGAGCACAGAAAAAACACCTCTGCACATGAAAACACTCGTAATACACCAAAGAAACACATGACAAGCAGCAGGGGGATAAAGGTGAGAGACCGCCGATGTAGACACATCCGGGCCTGCGTGCGCTGGTCTCCTTGATCCACCGTCAGCATCGGAAGGGAATAAGCATCGAAGGCGTTTGGAAAGGGAGGGTGTGTGTGTGTGTGTGTGTGTGTGTGTCCATAGTTTAGCTGAGACAGTGTCCTTCGCCCTGCCAGGCTAAGTAAACAGTCTTCCAGCCAACCCAGGTGGGCTTGCATGGAACAGGAGGAACAGACTCAGCACAGTCGTTATCAGGGTGTTGTTGTTCAGCTCCAGCCTTGCAGCTGGTGCCAAAGGGGTCTCCTCATGAAGTGATGGTGCTTTTTACTTTAGTGCGAACAGCTCATATGAATTTCAAAGCTGTTCTACAGTCCAACACTGGTCTCTCACTCTCCCGTTGGAGAGCCGCGAGCTTTCTATGATGTTTTCCAAACTTACGCTCCGTGATGTTGTCGTTCTTTTTGCTCAAAGAGCAGGTTGTTACACTCACGACCGCAGTGCACTTCCCCAAGATGTGATCGAATTTGCGCTCAGGGGTGTTGTTCGAGCGAGCCCCTCCAGATGTAATCCAGTTTTTCACTCAGAGCTCTTGTTCTGAGTGTTCACGGCAGCCGTGCGTTCTCCAAGATCTTCTCCGTGCTGCACTCAATGAGCCCATTTTGAGAAACTCAGGCCTCGTCCCATCGTTCCAATCCCAGCGGGCAGCCTTGTGGGGGTTTGAACAGCCGGTTCCGCTTCCTTAATTCTCCGATAAGTCAGGGCCAAGCCAGCTCCGATCAGCCAGAACCCTGTTATCATGGTTCTGAATAGGTAGATATCTTCAGCACTCAGGCTCACCTGAGCCCAGACTTCTCGTTGAGAAAGGGTGTCGAACGCATTCAGGGACCAGTTGATCAAATCCATAATTCTCTTTTAGGTTTTAGAGAACAGACTGTGAGAGACTGTTCCAGGGAAAGCAATACAAAAAACACGAGACGAGACAAGGACACAAGAGGCTAAGCAGGGAAGCTAAGGGAGAGGAGGAGGAGAAAAGTGCGACCGCCTTCGTCAAGAGCAACATGCTAACATGGGCTTTGTTAAAAACATGTTTGATGCCTCACGGCGCTTCGAGTGAATTCTGAGCTCTTCACTTGAATTTTGTTTGTTTTTACAGATTAATAAAGTGAGGTCGGACGGCTGTTTACTGACAGTTTTGCCACCAAACTTCATTTAAAATCCTCTGAATTTTAGATTCTCTTGCACAGCAGTTTCAGGCTCAGCTTGCAAACTTGGTTCAGGTCATTTTCTACCAGACTCCATTCAAAATCTGCTCATTTTCTGTTCTGCTGTTCATGAGTGAGTTCATGTGGCTTTCTGGCTGTCGATGCAAAACCCCGTCCTCAGACTGAAGCCGAAGGGTTCATGTAAAACCTGTGGCGTGCTTCCTGCCAGACTCCATGAGAAAAACAGCTGATTTCTGTTCTGTAGCTCACAGGTGAAGTAGTTTGATGCTGTCATTTGTTATAAACACACACAGACGAGCACTCGTTAAAACATCGGTCTGACTTCCTGTCGTCTCTGCGTTCGTAATCAGGTGAAGAAGTGTCTCCACGCCAACAGCACCCGTCCGTCTGAGGACAGGCTGACCACTGTCCAGTTCCACCCCAGCGCTCAAGTCGTCATGACGGCCGGCCTCGACCAGTCCGTCTCCCTGTTCCAGGTACGGTCGAGCCTCTCTGCTCAGGTGTTAGGCTCAGGTGGGAGGGATCACGTGATTTTGACCTTCCTCCTCTTCAGGTGGACGGGAAGACGAACCCGAAGATCCAGAGCATCCACCTGGAGCGCTTCCCCGTCCACAAGGCGCAGTTCAGCGTGGACGGGGAGACGGTGATCGCCACCAGCCTCAAGAACAAGATGTTCTACCTGTACGACATGATGGAGGGCTGCGTCTCACCTGTGCACACCGTCAGAGGTGAGGCGGGGTCAGAGGTCAGGGGAGGAGGAGGTTCCCGGGATTTCAAATTAAGAGCATGTTTGTTTGTCATCAGGTCTGAATGAAGCTCGAGTGAAGGAGTTCTCCGTGTGTCCTGAAGGAGGCGCTCTGCTGCTCACAGGCACCAACGGATACCTGCACGTCCTCACCCTCAAGGTAACTCCTCCCCCTCGCCCCTCCCCTCTCCTGAGTCCTCCCGATAACTCAAGCTGTGTCCCAATCCAGCAACCGCACACTTCATAGTACCCGCACTTCGCAGACTACGTGGGACGGGTACTCTGAAGTGCGAGAAGGCCAGAAGAACGAGGCTCGTGAAACGGGACGGTCTGGCCTTCGTCGTGCTGCTCATGTTGCCTAGCAACCATGATACTAACAGCTGGAAACGTTTCATACAGCTTTGTGTGACAGAAATGAAGGAGAACAAATGTTTTTTTGTTTATTTTTTTTATGAGATCAGCTGAGTATCTGAGGCTGAGACCACGAGACTGAAACATGCGTGTTGGGCTTCATGTCTGCACTGAACAGTCATTTAAGATTAGCTAGTAAATAACAATTAGTTAATGTTGTTCATGAGACTAACGTCATCTCACTGTGGTGATGTAAATATAATATGGACAATATTATAGTTATTGTCAGATTATTATGATTTATTACAGCAGAGCTTGAACTCTGGGTCAAAGATTCAAGTTGCAGTTATTTATATTTCCTCTCACCTTAAATCTTCACTCAAAGACACTCAAGTATCTGTGACAGTGTATAGATAGATGTATCATATATAAGAGACAAATATTGTTCTTTTAATATGTTGGTACTAAATTTGGCTCA